TACCACCACCACCACTCTAGACCACCACCACCACTCTAGACCACCACCACCACTACTCTAGACCACCACCACTCTAGACCACCACCACTACTACTCTAGACCACCACCACCACTACTCTAGACCACCACCACAACTCTAGACCACCACCACCACTCTAGACCACCACCACCACTCTAGACCACCACCACCACAACTCTAGACCACCACCACCACTCTAGACCACCACCACTACTACTCTAGACCACCACCACTACTCCAGACCCCCACCACCACTACTCTAGACCACCACCACTACTCTAGACCACCACCACCACTCTAGACCACCACCACTACTCTAGACCACCACCACTACTCCAGACCACCACCACCACTACTCTAGACCACCACCACCACTACTCTAGACCACCACCACTACTACTCTAGACCACCACCACTACTCCAGACCACCACCACCACTACTCTAGACCACCACCACCACTACTCTAGACCACCACCACCACTCTAGACCACCACCACCACCACTCTAGACCACCACCACCACCACTCTAGACCACCACCACTACTCTAGACCACCACCACCACTACTCTAGACCACCACCACCACCACCACTCTAGACCACCACCACCACTACTCTAGACCACCACCACCACTCTAGACCACCACCACTCTAGACCACCACCACCACTCTAGACCACCACCACCACCACTCTAGACCACCACCACTTCTCTAGACCACCACCACCACTACTCCAGACCACCACCACGACTACTCTAGACCACCACCACCACTCTAGACCACCACCACCACTACTCTAGACCACCACCACTACTCTAGACCACCACCACCACTCTAGACCACCACCACCACTCTAGACCACCACCACCACTACTCTAAACCACCACCACTCTAGACCACCACCACTACTCTAGACCACCACCACCACTCTAGACCACCACCACCACTACTCTAGACCACCACCACTACTCTAGACCACCACCACCACTCTAGACCACCACCACCACTCTAGACCACCACCACTACTACTCTAGACCACCACCACTACTCTAGACCACCACCACCACTCTAGACCACCACCACCACTACTCTAGACCACCACCACCACTCTAGACCACCACCACTACTCTAGACCACCACCACCACCACTCTAGACCACCACCACTACTTTAGACCACCACCACTCCAGACCACCACCACCACTACTCTAGACCACCACCACCACTACTCTAGACCACCACCACCACTCTAGACCACCACCACTACTTTAGACCACCACCACTCCAGACCACCACCACTACTACTCTAGACCACCACCACTACTCCAGACCACCACCACCACTACTCTAGACCACCACCACCACCACTCTAGACCACCACCACTACTCTAGACCACCACCACTACTCCAGACCACCACCACCACTACTCCAGACCACCACCACCACTACTCTAGACCACCACTACTCTAGACCACCACCACTACTCCAGACCACCACCACCACTACTCTAGACCACCACCACCACTACTCTAGACCACCACCACTACTCTAGACCACCACCACCACTCTAGACCACCACCACTCTAGACCACCACCACTACTCTAGACCACCACCACCACTCTAGACCACCACCACTACTCTAGACCACCACCACCACCACTCTAGACCACCACCACTACTCTAGACCACCACCACTACTCTAGACCACCACCACTACTCCAGACCACCACCACCACTACTCTAGACCACCACCACCACTACTCTAGACCACCACCACTACTACTCTAGACCACCACCACTACTCCAGACCACCACCACCACTACTCTAGACCACCACCACCACTACTCTAGACCACCACCACTACTCTAGACCACCACCACTCTAGACCACCACTCTAGACCACCACCACTACTCTAGACCACCACCACCACTACTCTAGACTACCACCACCACCACTCTAGACCACCACCACCACTACTCTAGACCACCACCACCACCACTCTAGACCACCACCACGACTACTCTAGACCACCACCACCACTCTAGACCACCACCACCACTACTCTAGACCACCACCACTACTCTAAACCACCACCACTCTAGACCACCACCACTACTCTAGACCACCACCACCACTCTAGACCACCACCACCACTACTCTAGACCACCACCACTACTCTAGACCACCACCACTCTAGACCACCACCAACACTCTAGACCACCACCACTACTACTCTAGACCACCACCACTACTCTAGACCACCACCACCACTCTAGACCACCACCACCACTACTCTAGACCACCACCACTACTCTAGACCACCACCACTCTAGACCACCACCACTACTCTAGACCACCACCACCACTCTAGACCACCACCACCACTACTCTAGACCACCACCACTACTCTAGACCACCACCACCACTCTAGACCACCACCACTCTAGACCACCACCACTACTACTCTAGACCACAACCACCACCACTCTAGACCACCACCACTACTACTCTAGACCACCACCACCACTACTCTAGACCACCACCACTACTCTAGACCACCACCACCACTACTCTAGACCACCACCACTACTACTCTAGACCACCACCACTACTCCAGACCACCACCACCACTACTCTAGACCACCACCACCACTACTCTAGACCACCACCACCACTCTAGACCACCACCACCACTCTAGACCACCACCACCACTCTAGACCACCACCACTACTCTAGACCACCACCACTACTCTAGACCACCACCACCACTACTCTAGACCACCACCACCACTACTACTCTAGACCACCACCACCACCACTCTAGACCACCACCACTACTACTCTAGACCACCACCACCACTACTCTAGACCACCACCACCACTACTCTAGACCACCACTACTCTAGACCACCACCACCACCACTCTAGACCACCACCACCACTACTCTAGACCACCACCACTCTAAACCACCACCACTACTCTAGACCACCACCACTCTAGACCACCACCACCACTCTAGACCACCACCACCACTACTCTAGACCACCACCACTCTAAACCACCACCACTCTAGACCACCACCACTACTCTAGACCACCACCACCACTCTAAACCACCACCACTCTAGACCACCACCACTCTTGACCACCACCACTCTAAACTACCACACTACTACTCTAGACCACCACCACCACTCCCACTCTAGACCACCACTACTCTAGACCACCACCACCACCACTCTAGACCACCACCACCACTACTACTCTAGACCACCACCACCACCACCCTAGACCATCAGCCACCACTACTCTAGACCACCACCACCACTCTAGACCACCACCACCACCACTCTAAACCACCACCACTCTAGACCACCACCACCACTACTCTAGACCACCACCACTCTAAACTACCACACTACTACTCTAGACCACCACCACCACTCTAGACCACCACCCTAGACCACCACCACTCTAGACCACCACCACCACCACTCTAGACCACCACCACCACCACTCTAGACCACCACCACCACCACTCTAGACCACCACTACTCCAGACCACCACCACTACTACTCTAGACCACCACCACCACTCTAGACCACCACCACCCTAGACCACCACCACCACCACCCTAGACCACCACCACTCTAGACCACCACCACTCTAGACCACTCTAGACCACCACCACCACCACCACTCTAGACCACCACCACTACTACTCCAGACCACCACCACCACTACTCTAGACCACCACCACCACTCTAGACCACCACTACTACTCCAGACCACCACCACTACTACTCTAGACCACCACCACCACTCTAGACCACCACCACCCTAGACCACCACCACTACTACTCCAGACCACCACCACTACTACTCTAGACCACCACCACCACTCTAGACCACCACCACCCTAGACCACTCTAGACCACCACCACCACCACTCTAGACCACCACCACCACCACTCTAGACCACCACCACCACCACTCTAGACCACCACCACCCTAGACCACTCTAGACCACCACCACCACCACTCTAGACCACCACCACCACTCTAGACCACCACCACCACCACTCTAGACCACCACCACCCTAGACCACTCTAGACCACCACCACCACCACTCTAGACCACCACCACCACCACTCTAGACCACCACCACCACCACTCTAGACCACCACCACCCTAGACCACTCTAGACCACCACCACCACCACTCTAGACCACCACCACCACCACTCTAGACCACCACCACCACCACTCTAGACCACCACCACTCTAGACCACTCTAGACCACCACCACCACCACCACTATAGACCACCACTACTACTCTAGACCACCACCACCACCACTACTCTAGACCACCACCACCACCACCACCCTAGACCACCACCACCACTCTAGACCACCACCACCACTACCCTAGACCACCACCACCACCACTATAGACCACCACTACTACTCTAGACCACCACCACCACCACCCTAGACCACCACCACCACCACTCTAGACCACCACTACTCTAGACCACCACCACCACCACCACCACTACTCTAGACCACCACCACCACCACCACCACTACTCTAGACCACTCTAGACCACCACCACCAGTCTAGACCACTCTAGACCACCACCCTAGACCACCACTACTCTAGACCACCACCACTACTACTCTAGACCACCACCACCACCACCCTAGACCACCACCACCACCACTCTAGACCACCACTACTCTAGACCACCACCACCACCACCACCACTACTCTAGACCACCACCACCACCACCACCACTACTCTAGACCACCACCACCACCACCACCACTACTCTAGACCACTCTAGACCACCACCACCAGTCTAGACCACTCTAGACCACCACCCTAGACCACCACTACTCTAGACCACCACCCTAGACCACCACTACTCTAGACCACCACCCTAGACCACCACCACCCTAGACCATCAGCCACCTGGTTGAGGTGTCGAACTTCCTCCTCTTGCTCCAGCCGCTGCTCCTCCGCCCTCCTCAGAAGCTCCTCCCCCTCCCCACCACCACCACCACACGAGTTGTTGTTGTTGATGTTGTTGTGGTTGTTGTTGATGTTGTTGTGGTTGTTGTTGTTGTTGTTGTCGTCACGTGCTCCGCCGGCTGCCTCGCGCTCACGGTCACGGCGCTTCATAGACTCCACTCGTGCCTAGTGGGGGGTGGTGGTGGTGGGTGGGGGGTTAGTGGGGGGGTTAGTGGGTGGGTGGGGGGGTTAGTGGGTGGGTGGGTGAGTGGGTTGGTGGGTGAGTGGGTGAGTGGGTGAGTGAGTGAGTGGGTGAGTGAGTGGGTGGGGGAGTGGGGGGGTGAGTGGGGGGGTGAGTGGGGGGGTGAGTGGGTGAGTGGGTGAGTGAGTGGGTGAGTGAGTGAGTGGGTGAGTGAGTGGGTGGGTGGGTGAGTGGGTTGGTGGGTGGTTGGGTGGGTGGGTGAGTGGGTTGGTGGGTGGGTGAGTGGGGGGGTGAGTGAGTGGGTGGGTGAGTGGGTGAGTGGGTGGGTGAGTGGGTGGGTGAGTGAGTGGGTGAGTGGGTGAGTGGGTGAGTGGGGGGGTGAGTGAGTGAGTGAGTGGGTGAGTGAGTGGGTGAGTGAGTGGGTGAGTGGGTGAGTGAGTGGGTGGGTGAGTGAGTGGTGGGTGAGTGGGTGAGTGGGTGGGTGGGTGAGTGAGTGAGTGGGGGGGGTGGGTGAGTGGGTGGGTGGGTGAGTGGGTGAGTGGGTGGGTGAGTGAGTGGGTGAGTGGGTGAGTGGGTGGGTGAGTGAGTGAGTGGGTGAGTGGGTGGGTGAGTGAGTGGGTGAGTGAGTGGGTGACTGAGTGAGTGGGTAAGTGAGTGGGTGGGTGAGTGAGTGGGTGAGTGAGTGGGTGAGTGAGTGGGTGGGTGAGTGAGTGGGTGAGTGGGTGAGTGGGTGGGTGAGTGAGTGAGTGGGTGAGTGGGTGAGTGAGTGGGGGGGGGGGGGTGGGTGAGTGGGGGAGTGGGTGAGTGAGTGGGTGAGTGAGTGGGTGGGTGAGTGGGTGGGTGAGTGAGTGAGTGGGTGGGTGAGTGGGTGAGTGGGTGAGTGAGTGGGTGAGTGGGTGAGTGAGTGGGTGGGTGAGTGGGGGAGTGGGTGAGTGAGTGGGTGAGTGGGTGAGTGAGTGGGTGAGTGAGTGGGTAAGTGAGTGAGTGGGTGAGTGGGTGAGTGAGTGGGTGAGTGGGTGAGTGGGTGAGTGAGTGGGTGAGTGGGTGAGTGAGTGGGTGGGTGAGTGGGTGAGTGGGTGAGTGAGTGGGTGAGTGGGTGAGTGAGTGGGTGAGTGAGTGGGTAAGTGAGTGAGTGGTTGAGTGGGTGAGTGAGTAGTGAGTGGGTGAGTGAGTGGGTGAGTGAGTTGGTGAGTGAGTGAGTGAGTGGGTGAGTGAGTGAGTGGGTGAGTGGGTGAGTGAATGAGTGAGTGGGTGGGTGAGTGGGTGGGTGGGTGAGTGGGTGAGTGGGGGGGTGAGTGGGGGGGTGAGTGGGGGGGTGGGTGAGTGGGTGAGTGGGTGAGTGAGTGGGTGAGTGGGTGAGTGAGTGGGTGAGTGAGTGGGTAAGTGAGTGAGTGGGTGAGTGGGTGAGTGAGTGAGTGAGTGGGTGAGTGGGTGAGTGGGTGAGTGAGTGGGTGAGTGGGTGAGTGAGTGGGTGGGTGAGTGGGTGAGTGGGTGAGTGAGTGGGTGAGTGGGTGAGTGAGTGGGTGAGTGAGTGGGTAAGTGAGTGAGTGGTTGAGTGGGTGAGTGAGTAGTGAGTGGGTGAGTGAGTGGGTGAGTGAGTTGGTGAGTGAGTGAGTGAGTGGGTGAGTGAGTGGGTGAGTGAGTGAGTGGGTGAGTGGGTGAGTGAGTGAGTGGGTGAGTGGGTGAGTGGGTGAGTGAGTGGGTGAGTGGGTGAGTGAGTGGGTGAGTGAGTGGGTGAGTGGGTGAGTGAGTGGGTGAGTGAGTGAGTGGGTGAGTGAGTGGGTGAGTGAGTGAGTAGTGAGTGAGTGAGTGGGGGTTAGTGGGTGAGTGGGTGAGTGAGTAGTGAGTGGGTGAGTGGGGGGGGGGGGTGGGTGAGTGGGTGGGTGGGTGAGTGGGTGCCGGACGGGCAACTCTGTCGTGGACAGTGCTGTGGGGGGAGATCCAATTTTGATTGGCTCCACCCCTCATGGCATCTGAGACCACCACAGGGGCTAAACGGGGGCTCTGGACAGGTGCGAGGGGCTGGTAACCCCTCCACCTTCAATAAATTACCACTAAACCACGAGTTAAACTGAAATATATAACTAATAAGCTTGTGCCGGAGGCCCCGGGGGGCCAGGCGTCTATGACGTCTCCTGGCCAAACCCCATTTGGCGGAGCCAGGAGATTGAATCTCTACCCTCGGGGCTCCTCCAGAAACAACGAAAAGCCACTACGGGTGGCCACGTGGAATGTTCGAACGCTCACTGCGGAGGAGAGGCTGCCACTCCTCTGTCGGGAGCTGGACCGGTACCGCCCGGATCTCAAACAACAAGGTGTGGCTCTTCTTCTGAACAAAAGAATGAAGGGGGCATGGGAGCGTGGCGGTGAGGTGTGGGAAGCTGTAAGCCCCAGGCTACTTTGGGCTCGCCTTCCCATCAACCGGAGGCGAGGAGTGGTGGACATGGTTACTTATGCCCCCACCGAAGACAAATATCCGTGGAGGGATGCAGGCAAGGCCGATGAGTCAGATGCCTTCTATGACCTCCTGTCACAGGTGCTAGCTAAAGTGGCCCCTTGGGATAGAGTCATCTTGTTGGGTGACTTCAATGCCCGAGTTGGTCATGATGCTGGCACCTGGTCTGGAGTGATTGGAGGGCATGGGCCAGATCAGCTCAATAACAACGGTAAGAGGCTGCTAGATTTTTGTGCAGCCCATGGGCTTGTAATTACCAACACGTTGTTCCGGCATCGGCGCATCCACACAACATCATGGATGCATGCCGGGTCCAAGCAAGAACATCTGCTGGACTACATAGTGACGGACCAGCGGATGCGGGGCCCATGTCCTTGACACCAGGACCTACCGTGGAGCTGATCTACCCTCTGACCATCGACTAGTCATCTGTAAGATGCGCCTGCCATTCTTCCACTCCAGTGGTGGGTGTACACCCAGGATCCCATTCAAACCCAAGGTGGCCTGGTCTCAGCTAGCTGATGAAAGTTGCAAGCGAGAATTTAATCATCGCTTGCGGCTGGGGTTGTCATCGTCCCCCACTCCTCCTGATGTCGAGGGTAAATGGGCGAGGTTTAGGACTGTGACTCATGCAGCTGCAATGGCTGCTTTGGGTACACGGTCCAGACCTCCCCAGAGACCCTGGCTGACAGAGGAGGTGTTCAGGATGGTTGAGAAAAAGCGACAGGTCCACTCTCATCGGCTACAGCATCCCACGGCAGAGAATGAGGAGGCTTACCGCAGCCTTCGCTCAGAGGTTCGGAGAGCCGTGAGGCGCTGCAAGGATGGGTGGTGGTCGCGGGTTGCTGAGGAGATGGAGTCTGCCTCAGTCTGGACCACTGGACGGGTTCCGCAGGATTGGAAGGATGCCCTGGTGGTCCCCCTCTTTAAGAAGGGGGACCGCACAGACTGTAACAACTACAAGGGCATCTCACTCCTCAGTGTGCCGGGAAAGGTCCTGGCAAGGATTATTCAACATCGCCTTGCCAGGCACGCTGAGGAGAGGCTTGCGGAGCCCCAATGCGGTTTCAGGAAAGGGCGGTCCTGCACAGATGCCATATTTTCTGTCCGTCTGCTACAGCAGAGGTGTAGGAAATTCCAACAAGACCTACATCTCTGCTTTATTGACCTGGTCAAGGCCTATGATACCATCAGTAGGCCTGGGCTCTGGGTTGTTCTTCGTGCTTTCGGAGTCCCTGACCCTCTGCTCACAATCATTAAGGACCTTCATGATGGTGAGCGGGCCCGGGTAAAACTTCGTGGCCGGGAGTCGGAGCCATTCCCTGTACACCTTGGGGTGCGACAGGGATGTCCTCTGGCTCCCACATTATTTAACATCTATTTTGACCACGTAGTTCGTGAAGCCTTCAATAGCTGTACCGGGGGAATTTCCATCTGGTACAGATACAATGGGAGGCTGATCGATACCCAAGCGCGGTCAAGTGATGGCTCCCTATTGCTCAACCACATTATGTATGCTGATGATTTGGTAATAGCTGCTCATTCAGAGGAGGAGTTGGAGGCGCTGCTGCTGAGACTGGAGCGTGCCACTAAGAGATGGGGCCTTACCATCAGCCCCACCAAAACTAAGCACCTGCCTGGGTATTTTGTACCATCGGACACTCCACCCCCACAACTCCCAGTCGGTGATGGGGCAGTTGTGGAGAGAGTGGAGAGTTTACCATACCTGGGCAGTGTGCTTATGACCGGCTCCAGTTTAACAGCAGAGGTCTCACTCCGAATCAGTCGAGCGGCAATATCTTTTCATTGGTTGCGTAACGCTGTGTGGAAGCTACCTGGTCTGTCGCTCCGCACTAAGCTTCAGGTCTTCTCGGCCACGGTCATTCCCTCCCTTCTCTACGCTTGAGAAACGTGGACCCCCCAAATGGAACATCTTCGCCGGTTAGAAACATTTAGGCTAGCCTGCCTACGATCCATCCTGGGTTTAACCAGGATGGATTGTGTGAGGAGCTCACAAATCCTGAAAGATCTGGGCAAGGTCCCATCGGTGAGCTCCTCCGGCGGGCAAGGCTGCGATGGCTGGGTCATGTAGCCCGCATGCCCAGCCACCGCATGCCGAAACAGCTTTTGTTTGGCCGGATTGAGGGGGCTAAGCGGGCGCGCTACGGGCTAGAGAAGAGATGGAGTGATGTGGTACAGGAGGACGTGGAGCTGAGTTGACTTGCCGATGACCGGTACCAGCGGTGTCAAGATCGGCCTCTGCGGCGAATGGTGGTTGTTGTTGTTGTTGGTGTGTCTTTGTGTGTCTCTGTGTCTCTCTGTGTGTCTCTGTGTGTGTCTCTCTGTGTGTCTGTCTGTGTGTCTCTCTGTGTCTCTCTGTGTGTGTCTCTGCGTGTGTCTGTGCGTGTGTCTCTGTCTCTCTGCGTGTGTCTCTCTCTGTGTGTGTGTGTCTCTCTGTGTGTCTCTGTGTCTCTGTGTCTGTGTGTGTGTCTCTGTGTGTGTGTGTCCCTGTGTCTCTCTCTGTGTGTCTCTGCGTGTGTCCCTGTGTCTCTCTCGGCGTACCTTCTCTCTCTGTGTGTGTGTCTCTCTGTGTGTCTGTGTGTCTCTGTGTCTCTGTGTCTCTCTCTCTGTGTCTCTGTGTCTCTCTCTGTGTGTCACTGCGTGTGTCCCTGTGTCTCTCTCGGCGTACCTTCTCTCTCTGTGTGTGTGTCTCTCTGTGTGTGTCTCTCTGTGTGTGTCTCTCTGTGTGTCTGTGTGTCTCTGTCTCTCTGTGTGTGTGTGTCTCTCTGTGTGTCTGTGTGTCTCTGTGTCTCTCTGCGTGTGCCTCTGTGTGTGTGTGTCTCTCTGTGTGTCTGTGTGTCTCTGTGTCTCTCTCTCTGTGTCTCTCTCTGTGTGTCACTGTGTGTGTCCCTGTGTCTCTCTCGGCGTACCTTCTCCCTCTGTGTGTGTGTCTCTCTGTGTGTCTGTGTGTCTCTGTGTCTCTGTGTCTCTGTGTGTCTCTCTGTGTGTGTGTGTCTCTCTGTGTCTCTGTGTCTCTGTGTCTCTCTCTGTGTCTCTCTCTCTCTCTGTGTCCCTGTGTCTCTCTCGGCGGACCTTCTCCCTCTGTGTGTGTCTCTCTGTGTGTGTGTGTCTCTCTCTGTGTCTCTCTCTGTGTGTCTCTGCGTGTGTCCCTGTGTCTCTCTCGGCGTACCTTCTCCCTCTGCCACCTCTCCTCTTCCAACCCGGCAGCAGCCGCGGCCTCATCCTCCTCATCATCCTCCTCCTCCTCCTCCTGCTGTCCACCTCCCCGTCCACCTCCCTGTCCACGCTCTTGTCCACCTCCCTGTCCACCTCCCTGTCCACCTCCCTGTCCACGCTCTTGTCCACCTCCCTGTCCACCTCCCCGTCCACCTCCCCGTCCACGCTCTTGTCCACCTCCCCGCTGTCTCTGTCCCGGGGCCGCGGCCGCCCGTCGCAGCCGCTGCAGCTCGCCGGGATCCACCACGAGCCTCGTGCCCGAGGGGTCCTCGCGGGGGACCCTGTGGGTGAGTGAGGGTGAGGGTGAGGGTAAGGGTGGTAAGGGGTGGTCACGTGGGGAGACGAGGCAGTGGAGTCGCTGTTTCTATTTCCGCGCACAAAAACCTTTCGCGACCGCGTGGCTTCGTCATCTTCCACCGCGGCTCTTCCGGCAGCAGAAAGAATTAAGAGCGGTCGCCCGTCCAGGCGACGCTGGACGGAAATTTCCGCTACGTTTCCCGGGGGGGGGGCCGGCCCCCCCCCCCCCCCAACTCTTAACCGGCGGCTCCGTTGCCGGGGGCCGCGTGGAGAGGGCCCCCCGGCAACCGTCGCGAGGAATTTTAGAGGGGGGCACCCGTTGCCTCGTCGGTTTTGATTTTGATTCTCACCCTACGCGGTGGCGACCCTTCGTTGTTGATGTTGGTGATGGTGGTGTTGGTGTTGTTGTTGATGTTGTTGTTGGTGGTGTTGTTGTTGTTGGTGTTGTTGTTGATGTTGATGTTGTTGTAGGTGTAGTTGTTGTTGTTGTTGTTGGTGTTGGTGTTGTTGATGTTGTTGTTGTTGTTGTTGATGGTGATGTTGTTGTTGTTGATGGTGTTGTTGGTGTTGTTGGTGTTGTTGATGTTGTTGTTGTTGATGGTGTTGGTGTTGATGTTGTTGTTGGTGGTGTTGTTGGTGTTGTTGATGGTGTTGTTGATGGTGTTGGTGTTGTTGATGATGATGATGTTGTTGATGTTGATGTTGTTGGTGTTGTTGATGGTGTTGTTGATGGTGTTGGTGTTGTTGTTGTTGATGTTGTTGATGTTGTTGGTGTTGTTGGTGTTGTTGATGGTGTTGGTGTTGTTGGTGTTGTTGATGGTGTTGGTGTTGTTGGTGTTGTTGATGGTGTTGTTGTTGATGTTGTTGGTGTTGTTGGTGTTGTTGATGGTGTTGTTGTTGATGTTGTTGGTGTTGTTGGTGTTGTTGATGGTGTTGGTGTTGTTGGTGTTGTTGATGGTGTTGTTGTTGATGTTGTTGGTGTTGTTGATGGTGTTGTTGATGTTGTTGTTGTTGGTGTTGTTGGTGTTGTTGATGGTGTTGGTGTTGTTGTTGTTGATGTTGATGTTGTTGTTGTTGTTGGTGTTGTTGTTGTTGTTGTTGATGTTGTTGATGTTGTTGATGGTGTTGATGTTGTTGATGGTGTTGATGTTGTTGTTGATGTTGTTGTAGTTGTTGATGTTGTTGATGTTGTTGTTGTTGATGTTGTTAGTGTTGATGATGTTGTTGTTGATGTTGTTGGTGTTGTTGATGGTGTTGTTGTTGATGTTGTTGATGTTGTTGGTGGTGTTGATGTTGTTGATGTTGTTGTTGTTGTTGGTGGTGTTGTTGTTGATGTTGATGTTGTTGGTGTTGTTGATGGTGTTGTGGTTGTTGTTGATGTTGTTGATGGTGTTGATGTTGTTGATGTTGTTGATGGTGTTGGTGTTGATGTTGGTGTTGTTGATGTTGTTGATGTTGTTGTTGGTGTTGTTGATGTTGTTGTTGATGTTGGTGTTGTTGTTGATGTTGTTGGTGTTGTTGATGGTGTTGATGTTGTTGTTGATGTTGTTGTTGATGTTGTTGTTGATGTTGGTGTTGTTGTTGATGGTGTTGTTGATGTTGTTGATGTTGTTGATGTTGTTGTAGTTGATGTTGTTGGTGTTGTTGTTGTTGTTGTTGGTGTTGTTGATGTTGTTGATGATGTTGTTGTGGTTGTTGGTGTTGATGTTGTTGATGTTGATGTTGTTGTTGATGATGATGTTGTTGTTGATGTTGTTGGTGTTGTTGATGTTGTTGGTGTTGTTGATGGTGTTGGTGTTGTTGATGGTGTTGGTGTTGTTGGTGTTGTTGTTGTGGTTGTTGTGGTTGTTGATGTTGTTGTTGATGTTGTTGTTGATGTTGGTGTTGTTGTTGATGGTGTTGTTGATGTTGTTGATGTTGTTGGTGTTGTTGTTGTTGGTGTTGTTGATGTTGTTGATGATGTTGTTGTGGTTGTTGGTGTTGATGTTGTTGATGTTGATGTTGTTGTTGATGTTGTTGTTGATGATGATGTTGTTGTTGATGTTGTTGGTGTTGTTGATGTTGTTGATGTTGTTGTTGATGTTGATGTTGTTTTAGTTGTTGATGTTGTTGATGTTGTTGTTGTTGATGTTGTTGATGGTGTTGGTGTTGTTGTTGATGGTGATGTTGTTGTTGTTGTTGGTGTTGATGATGTTGTTGTTGTTGATGTTGTTGTTGGTGTTGTTGGTGTTGTTGATGTTGTTGTTGTTGATGGTGTTGGTGTTGATGTTGGTGTTGTTGATGTTGTTGTTGTTGATGATGTTGTTGATGGTGTTGATGTTGTTGGTGTTGTTGGTGTTGTTGATGTTGCTGTTGTTGGTGTTGTTAATGTTGTTGTTGCTGTTGTTGGTGTTGTTGATGTTGTTGTTGTTGTTGGTGTTGTTGTTGTTGTTGTTGATGTTGTTGATGTTGTTGATGGTGTTGATGTTGTTGATGGTGTTGATGTTGTTGTTGATGTTGTTGTAGTTGTTGATGTTGTTGATGTTGTTGTTGTTGATGTTGTTAGTGTTGATGATGTTGTTGTTGATGTTGTTGGTGTTGTTGATGGTGTTGTTGTTGATGTTGTTGATGTTGTTGGTGGTGTTGATGTTGTTGATGTTGTTGTTGTTGTTGGTGGTGTTGTTGTTGATGTTGATGTTGTTGGTGTTGTTGATGGTGTTGTGGTTGTTGTTGATGTTGTTGATGGTGTTGATGATGTTGTTGTTGTTGATGGTGTTGGTGTTGATGTTGGTGTTGTTGATGTTGTTGATGTTGTTGTTGGTGTTGTTGATGTTGTTGTTGATGTTGGTGTTGTTGTTGATGTTGTTGGTGTTGTTGATGGTGTTGATGTTGTTGTTGATGTTGTTGTTGATGTTGTTGTTGATGTTGGTGTTGTTGTTGATGGTGTTGTTGATGTTGTTGATGTTGTTGATGTTGTTGTAGTTGATGTTGTTGGTGTTGTTGTTGTTGTTGTTGGTGTTGTTGATGTTGTTGATGATGTTGTTGTGGTTGTTGGTGTTGATGTTGTTGATGTTGATGTTGTTGTTGATGATGATGTTGTTGTTGATGTTGTTGGTGTTGTTGATGTTGTTGGTGTTGTTGATGGTGTTGGTGTTGTTGATGGTGTTGGTGTTGTTGGTGTTGTTGTTGTGGTTGTTGTGGTTGTTGATGTTGTTGTTGATGTTGTTGTTGATGTTGGTGTTGTTGTTGATGGTGTTGTTGATGTTGTTGATGTTGTTGGTGTTGTTGTTGTTGGTGTTGTTGATGTTGTTGATGATGTTGTTGTGGTTGTTGGTGTTGATGTTGTTGATGTTGATGTTGTTGTTGATGTTGTTGTTGATGATGATGTTGTTGTTGATGTTGTTGGTGTTGTTGATGTTGTTGGTGTTGTTGATGGTGTTGGTGTTGTTGATGGTGTTGGTGTTGTTGGTGTTGTTGTTGTGGTTGTTGTGGTTGTTGATGTTGTTGTTGTTGTTGATGTTGTTGTTGATGTTGTTGTGGTTGGTGTTGTTGTTGATGTTGTTGTTGTTGGTGTTGATGTTGTTGTTGATGTTGTTGATGTTGTTGTAGTTGTTGATGTTGTTGATGTTGTTGTTGTTGATGTTGTTGTTGATGTTGTTGATGTTGTTGTAGTTGTTGATGTTGTTGATGTTGTTGTAGGTGTTGTTGTTGATGTTGTTGTTGATGTTGTTGATGTTGTTGTAGTTGTTGATGTTGATGTTGTTGTTGATGTTGTTGGTGTTGTTGATGTTGTTGTTGTTGTTGTTGTTGATGTTGTTGATGTTGATGTTGGTGTTGTTGATGGTGTTGGTGTTGTTGATGTTGTTGATGTTGTTGATGTTGTTGATGGTGTTGTTGATGTTGTTGATGTTGTTGTTGGTTTTGGTGTTGTTGATGATGTTGATGTTGTTGTTGATGTTGTTGTTGTTGTTGGTGTTGTTGTTGTTGATGGTGTTGATGTTGTTGTTGTTGATGTTGATGTTGTTGTTGTTGATGTTGATGATGTTGTTGATGTTGTTGTTGTTGTTGTTGATGATGTTGTTGATGTGTTTGTTGTTGATGTTGTTGTTGATGTTGTTGATGTTGTTGGTGTTGTTGATGGTGTTGATGATGTTGTTGTTGTTGATGTTGTTGTTGTTGATGTTGTTGGTGTTGATGTTGTTGTTGATGGTGTTGTTGTTGATGTTGTTGTTGATGTTGTTGGTGTTGATGTTGTTGTTGATGGTGTTGTTGATGTTGTTGTTGTTGATGTTGTTGATGTTGATGATGTTGTTGTTGATGTTGTTGTTGATGGTGTTGTTGTTGATGTTGTTGTTGATGTAGGTGTTGATGTTGTTGTTGTTGTTGTTGTTGTTGATGTTGTTGTAGTTGTAGTTGTTGATGTTGTTGTTGATGTTGTTGTTGATGTTGTTGTTGATGTTGTTGATGTTGTTGTTGTTGTTGATGTTGTTGTTGATGTTGTTGTTGATGTTGTTGTTGATGTTGTTGATGTTGTTGTTGTTGATGTTGTTGTTGATGTTGTTGTTGATGTTGTTGATGTTGTTGTTGATGTTGTTGATGTTCTTGATGTTGTTGTTGTTGTTGATGTTGTTGTTGATGATGTTGTTGATGTTGTTGATGATGTTGTTGTTGGTGTTGATGATGTTGTTGATGTTGTTGTTGTAGTTGTTGTTGTAGTTGTTGATGTTGTTGTTGTTGATGTTGTTGTTGATGTTGGTGTTGTTGATGTTGTTGATGTTGTTGTTGTTGATGTTGTTGATGTTGTTGATGTTGTTGTAGTTGTTGATGGTGTTGATGTTGTTGATGTTGTTGTTGTTGTTGATGTTGTTGTTGATGTTGTTGTTGATGTTGTTGTTGATGTTGTTGTTGTTGATGTTGGTGTTGATGATGTTGTTGATGATGTTGTTGTTGTTGATGTTGTTGTTGATGTTGTTGATGTTGTTGTAGTTGTTGATGTTGTAGTTGT